CGGCCGCCGAGCCAGGGGCGGTTTTTGAGAGAAAAACAGAGAGAGAGAGAGAAAAAGAGCACCGAGAGAAAACATGGAGAGAGAGAGAGAGAGCAAACCGAGAGCTCGCCAGAGCAAGAAGGAGAACCAGCAGTATCACCGTCGCCCACGGAGCATCCGGAGACCCCCAGAACGCGCCGTCGACCGGTGAGTCTCTCCCGGCCGAGAACCGCCTCTGTTTTCCCCTATTTTCCGGCGTGGTTGGGCCGGGACTCGCGCCGGCCGTTTCGTTCGAATCCCGGCCCATACCGACGTCGGTCCCGGTCCCTACTCACCGTTGGAGGCGAACCAAGGCCGTCGGAGCCGACCGAGTCGCCGGAGGAGGCCGAGATCCCTTGATTTTTGCCGCGCACTCTACTTGCTCGATGAAATGCCTCAATGAGGCTGGTTTGTTTTTGGTCGCCGGCCGGCGAACGAGTGATCGGACGGTGACCCCGGTGGGTGGAGAGGTTTGATTTTAGTCCCAGGGGCCGATTTGGGGGCGGCGCTGGTCTGGGTCCGCCGGCGAGAGGCCGATTTTCGGCTTCGCCGGCGGCTGCTCCCATGGTTCGGTCTGACCCGGTTCAGCCGACCCGACCCGGGTCGGTCTGACCGACCCGGTTCAGCTGATCCGACCCGGGTCAACGCCCGGGTCGGATCTGTTGACCCGGGTCGGATCCGACCCGACCCGGTTAATATATATTATTATTTTATTTTATTTAAAAAAATTTAATTAAAAATTTAAAAAAAATTAATTTTTTTTTCTTCTTCTGTATTATTATTATTATTTTTTTATTTTTTTCGAAAAATTTAAAAAAATTTAAAAAAAATCTTTTTTTAAAATCATGTTATATCTAAGTGTTTAATTTATCGTAGTATTATTATACATATTTTTGTCTTGTTTAAATTAGACAAGCCTGAGAAATGCGCGGTAATATTTTGCATGTTAGTTTTTATTATCACTGTATTATTATGCATGTTTTTAATACAATCGCATGAGTTGTGTTTTGAATGTCATCTGACTTAGTTAAGGTTAGAACCTTAGGCTGCATGAATTGTTGTGTTCCTGACTGCTGATCGTTTCTGATTATGCACTCGCTTGATCACCTCACATGTTAGGAGAAAGGTCTTAAAATCAATTCAAATTGCCTGACAAATGTTTTCAGAAATGAACAGGGTAAAATGGTACCGAAAGGGCATTAGTTATCCAACTAGTGTAACCAAGTCCCCGAACTCATTTAATCTCTGGTTCGTAGGAATAGGGTGATTCTCCCATCACCCTATTTGGGTTTCTAATTGACCCACCCCAAATCGATTAGTGGCGACTCCTTGATATAAACCACTTGCATGCTAAAAACTTAAACCCTAAGTCGCGATATGGTATGGGCTTGGGAGAGCCCGAGTTAAGTCCCGAACCTAGACTTAGCACGTACCAGGCGAGCCCCCCTTTTTTGCATGTTCGATATAAAAGGGCTCGGGAGTTCGGTCGCGACAAGTAGATAAGGATTGGATAAATTAGTAAACATAAAGCATAGAAGGAGTCAAGCACAAACAAAGCAAAAAGAAGAGGAGCAACGTGGGAAACACTCGTACTTGTTAAATAAAAGGTCGGAAGAAACATCGTTATCTCGACTAAAAAAATGTTCACATGATCGTGTGAGCTTTGCATTATCTTCTTTTTCTTGTCGGTCGATATTTTTCAATCAAAACATATCGAAATGTTGGGAATTTTCATATCCAAAAAGGTAGGGAATTGTGGGAAACGCTAGGATTAGAATATAAAAGTCAAGTGAAACATCGATTACTTGAGATTTGCCACTTGATCTTTTCTAATAGAGACGCTAGGTAGCATTAACTATTGTGCAAAAAAAAAAAAAAAGAAATTACATGGACTATGTACCACATGTGCTACACGTGAATACATACAAATAGGCTAAATAGCTATTAACATTTTCTTATATGATTCTAATAAGGGTGCTCATCCCACGTGAAGCAATTGGATCCGAGTTCCAAATGTAATCTACATTGAATACTAGCTACAAATACTTTTCCTATACTAATTCTAGTCCGGAAAGATCGGTACATTCGTAACCTTTATAAAAGTTTTTGAATACAGAATTAATTGCCTATTTTTTTATGAGTTAATATCACGAAAAACCTCAAACTGATACACTTGTGACAAATTTACTCTAAATTAATTTTTTGACTACCAAAAACCCCGAACTGGTACACTTGTGATAAATTTACCCTTCCTTAATTTCCGTTAAATTTTACTGTCAAATTGCTAAGTTGAATGACGGGTTGTAGTCGAAAGGTGTACCAGTTTTGGGTTTTATCCTCTGTTTATTATAGGTGTACTGGTCTGTGATTTTTCGTGCTATTAACGGATGGTAAATTTATCACAAATTTGCCAGTTTAGAGTTTTTTGTGGTCAAAAGATTAGTTTGGGGTAAATTTGTCACATGTGTACCAGTTTAGGGTTTTTGATGGTCAAAAAATTAATTTAGGTTAAATTTGTCACAAGTATACAAGTTTAGGATTTTTCGTGATATTACCCCATTTTTTATTCAAATAATTTGAGTGAATCTAAGTTTCAAAGTTGAAATGTAAATTTCAATCTATAATTATCTAGCCTATCTTAATCGTATGTGTGTTTTTTCCGGAATAAATTTGTAGGTTTCTAAGGCGAAACATCACTTATTTTGTGCTTTCCCAATTTAATTCGAATTGTAAGATGAAGGTTGAAAATCTATTTACACCTTCTTCACTTTCAGACTCCCATCACATCATTCCAGAGAAAGTTTTAAGAATATTTTTGTAGGTTTAATCCACTTGCTATTACATTGAAATTATAATCGATATTAATTACTTTCTCCATGATAGAAGTAGAACAAGAAGAAGTCTCTTTTTTTCTTCTTTGTACCTTATCTTTTGTTTCGATGTGGTCTAAGTATACACATGTTTAATGTTTGATCATGCTTCTAAGAAATTAACCTATCCATACTTCGATCATTTTTTCCCATTTTTGATTGACATAATTAGATTGAAATTTAATTTTCAACTTTGAAATATAGTTTCACTCAAATTATCTAATGAAAAAGAGGCAATTAATTGTGTTCATAAGCCATCATAAATAAAAATTTCTAATCTTCTATGTAGCATTGATTACTAATATGATACCATAAATTAAAATTAATAACTTCTCTAAGCAAAGTGATCACATGATGCAATTGTGAAACTGATGAGAGAAATGATAAAAATAAAGTTAGTTTTGTTGGTGCGTCCGATGAAAAAAGGAAATGATACTTTGAAGAGGGGATAAGTGTACTAGAAGTCCTAAAACTTATCAGGAAAGTGCAATTGAGTCCTAAAACTTTCAAAAAATGCGATCAAGTCCTAAAACTTGTCACGAAAGTGCAATTAAGTCCCAAAACTTTCAAAAAGTGCAATCAAGTCCTAAAACTTATCACAAAGGTGTAATCAAGTCCTAAAACTTTCAAAATGTACAATCAATGGAATGACTTAATTGAACCAATTTGACAAGTTTTAAGACTTGTTTGCACTTTCGTGACAAGTTTTAGGACTTGTTTGCACTTTTTTAAAGTTTTAGGACTCAATTGCACTTTCCTAACAAGTTTTAGGACTTAATTGCACATTATAAAAGATTTAGGACTCAATTGTACTTTCGTGACAAGTTTTAGGACTTTGAATGTACTTATCGCCTTTGAAGAGAGAGAGAGAGAGAGAGAGAGGCATTTTGGTCAATTACTTTAAAAATGAGCGTTTTAGTCAAAATAAGGGTGGAAATAGCACCGCCCTTGCAAAATTGAACAAAATAAAAAGATATTGCTAAAAGAGTGAAAATAATGAGTAATATATCATTAAACACTTTCATAGTTTCATTTGTACTAGTTTGGGGTTTAATGAAGTCATTTTTGTGCGGGATGGTCCCCCTTTATATTCATACTTTCATGACAAATTGATGTAGGACTCCTCCCCACAATCTCAGTGACTGAGGGGTCATTCGATCATTTTACCTAATAATTCATGCCATGTTTACCCTACGTTAATCAAAGTAGGAATCTTAGATTGCAGGTGGAATCCAAAAGAAAAGAGTCTCGTCTCTCTCCATTCCTGGCGAGTCGCCGGCCGACGACAACACCAGAAAAAAGAGCAGATTACTTCGGTAGACAGAGATGGCTGGAAGAGCAGTTTACTGATAAGAATGCAGAAGGAATGGAGAATGGCCTTGTCGATGACTTCAACTGATTATAACAAGAATGCCTTTCTTGGAGCCTTGTCTACGACGTAATGTCTTAACATTGTACAGTCAACGTTTTTATACTTTACTACGAGGATATGTCGTAAAGTGGCACGGTACACCAGTCGTACCATGGAAGTGGTGAACTCGAGTGAGAGATTGATGACCGTCGCATCACGGCTTTATCACAATTACAAGGCCTTAAGCGCTACGATATTTACTTGTTATGCTGTGATCTCTATAGAAGTTCTATTACATATTTTATGCAGGCAAGGGTTATCAATTCGGGGCTGTATCGCCGTGTTCACCTTAGCGCGGGTTGTTCCCAAAATGTTTCAATCGGATGAATAAATTGTTTTTTCTCTGGTCAAAATGTCTAGATTTCGAGTCTCTCACTAAGATTATGTGGTGATAGAGTTGTCTCTTTCTTCTCATGTCATGTTAAGAATCGACAAGCCTACTTTCAAGGGGTTGCGGATTCTTTCCCCCCAAAAAATATAGGATGACCTACCTGGGGTGATGGCCAGAAATGCAGTGGGCAGGAATAATCATATCAGTGAGGACTGAAGACCCATAAACTGCATGAATAATGGCAGTTAGAGAGGCCTTGACACAAGCAGATAGCCAGGGATGGCAAGAAACAGCTGATAATGGGGACTACACTCAGGGCTGCTTAGCTGAGATTTTGTTGTCAGAAATGAGAAAGGGAGAGCAAAGAGACTTATGAGAATGATGTTTCAGTCAAATAGAAGAAGTGCTAGTGAACGTGCAAGTCAGGTTGCAGTCCATTTAAAGAAGATGATCGATCTAGTCGATTGGGTCGATGACCCTCCCGTCTTCTCTGTGGGATCTTTGCATGTGCTCTTGTTAGGAATGATCCCTGTTGATGAAGAAGACCACCACATAACATGTGTTGATGGAATCAACTGTACGTTTTACTAGCTATACAAGTACATAATGACTGCAGGAAACACTGCCACATCAAAATGGGTGAGTAATCCAAATGACCAAGAGTGAGTTTCTCTGCATTCAGTTTTATATTCATGTGAATCTCACAACAAAGTCAGGGCCTAAATCAATTTTATTTACTCATTCTGCATTAAAGAAGCCCTAGCTTCTTGCTTCAGACTTTCTCGTGTATAAATTGCCTTTTCTGCTCAGCAACATGATGAACTAGAACCTCACATATAGAATGTGGCCATACCATGGTTTTGGTGACCCAGTGGAAGTTGATCGCATCATGCCAAAGCAGAGCCTCTCTCTGTAAGCACAATTAGGTTAAACAACTGGATGCACCAGTTAGGGGTAGAAATTTAAGTCTGTCCAGCACATCAGAGTGTAACGATCTCAAGCTCGTCAAGGAATTCTGCACTTAAAATCTAATCTATTCAAGCCATGATGAAGGTTTTAGTAATTACCCATTGAGTTTACTAAGATGAGGACAGTCAATTGTAATGCAAAGTGGCAACTTGCATCATGAGGTCAAAGATTCCTCAGGGGAAACTGCACTTCCATTGTTAAGCACTTGATAATGTGTCAGGTTTCCATCCTCAATGGCATGTACAACTTCAGGTTCCTTCTCACTGGACAACGAAAACACCATCAACTTTGCACGAAAACACTTCCAGAACGAGGCACATCTATATAAAACTTAAGCACTCTTGTGGGGTCATAGTTTAAAGGATCATACAAATTGATGCTATCCCAACTCATATATTAACCAGCAAAAGATGCCACCATCATTGCAACTTTAAGCATGACATTCCGTAACTGGTTTTTCCAAGCAGGATAGATGGAGTTACACTTCCCTCCTAATGTTTTGATACTTCTGTTATTAAATATAATGGTGTAACATGAGTAAGTCAAAAATGGGATGATCTCTCATACTTTAATTACTCTAAGTAAATGGAATGGGATGCTTAAGACTAGAGAGTGAATTGCAGTCACGAATAGTCATGTAAAGACTCCGTAAGAATTCCTTTGATTCAACAAGACAAAAGAAAGCACCCCGGATAAATTCAGCCAACCGATAACCATAAACACAGGTCCTTTGATATTGCCTTTATTGTCTTTATCTTTGATTAATGCTAGAGATACAAAGGTTGGTTTACAAAACAATTCACAAATTGATGCAGGAGAATCTTATTAATGCCGAATATTATCTACTTGTTTAAATTCTCACATATAGTTTGTCACACAGTTTATAACAAATCTTTGAATCCCTCTCATATTAGGGTCGGTTTGTTTAGAATTAAGTTCCAATAAAAAGTACTTTTTGACTCATGCCAAAAACAAATTATCCAAATATAGAAAAATTATCAAAAAAATATGTCAATCTACGTTTCCACATTTGCACATTATGAAAATTTTAAGTGCTTAGGATTAAGAAGTCAAGCGCGTGCGTCACAAGATTTAGATTAAGCAAAAACAAAAGGTAAATGTACATCCAGACACACCCTTACTCTTTTATCTTTTTCAGGTTTTCATTAAATGGAGGCATGGCCTTTCTATTTGGGGTCACTCATTGTTTTGGGATTACAACCCCAGGCTCTCTTCGGAATGGATGGTGGTTCACTGTCTTGACTCGAGTTATTATCTAAGAGTCAGATTGCTTCTTAGCCAACCGAGTGAATGAGAATGAACGGAATTTCTAGCTATGATTCAAAAGAAAAAGAATCAAAGGTTACGCTCCTCGAAGCAGGTTATTTTTCTAAACTGCAATCAAAGGTTAGTGCTAACGAGCACAAGTTGCTCAATAATTCAGTTACTTCATCTTGACAGAATTTCTTTCCTGTGATGGATACTTGCACTTGGCCAATGGAAAATGGTCGATTGGCTGGGCTACGCATGAGAATATGCACCATAAAATTGCATCTATGCAAGAAATACAGGCATATAGAGGACTGTAAACCAAAAAAATGGAGAGGAACATTCTGTGGATAAGAGATGACACGTACTTTTTCGAGTAAATGACCAAGCCAACTACCACGATGGCGAAAGCAAGATAGTATAACCTGTCAACCTGAAAGAAGGGTGAATATTGATCTGGTTATGCAGGTACAAAATGCTATCATGGTGTCAAATATGAAACTAAAAGCTGCCGATGGAAACCAAATAATGTGAATGATTGTACCTGCTGATTATAGATGAGGATGCGTACAACAACTGCCCACATATCAGATGTGAGTAGAGCGAGATTGAACATTGCGGCTCCACTCATCTGTAGGCAACTTATTCTCATTAGAGATACCGAGATTTACTTCTTAGCAAACATTTAGTGAAGGATGGCTTTATCTCATTTCTTTTGTCATTATATTAGAGATCTCACCATAAGATTACACCAAAAATATATATATTTCCAATAAAGATGGAAGAAGATGCAGAGCGGTAAATAATTGCATCGATCACAATGTTTCATATGGCTGCCATGTACATCAGAGGAGGAGAAAAAATGAACTTAACTCGAACTATCATAAGTCTAGGAAGATATTTGATACTCTCTGTCAGGACAATTCAACATTAGCTCTAAAGTAGATCGTGGGAGTGTACATATGTACATAACCACACTGCAAGATTTTGAGACTTCTAAGGGAAAACAATATTTACTGGCACCAAAAGAGCAAGAGTACCTTCAGGACTGAAGGAGCAAATGTGCAGAATGCAAAGCATGACAGAGCATAACCAACAAAAGCTAGTACCTGAAACAGAAGCAGAGGGCTTAGAAATCGAAATAGAGGGCAAAGTACTGGAGAATCTGAGATGTGCAAGTCAATGGAACACGAGGTACAAAGAGCAAAAAATACTCACAGAACACAAAGTCTACAACCAGTAATCGGAGGTGGTACTATAAATTAAGGTATGTCCAGAGAAAAGACAGGAAGAATGTCAAATTGATATGCCATTCGTAAGCATGCTTAATTTTCTAGGTAAAAACTTATCAGCCAAAAAAAAAGTTGAAATTACCACTCACTTGACATTTACACCACTCATGTTTTCATGAAAGTTTGTACTATATGCCCCTTCAAGTAATGGCTAGAACTCAATGATACCCTTGCCAGACAGGTACAGGCATATCGTTTTTTTTTTTTTCCTTTTGGAGGGACCCAAACATGCATATTGCTTAATATTGTCATTAAGAAGAATGACTCATTTGGTGGATTACCAAAATAACAATATTTAAATGGATAATTGAAAAGGCACAAGATGATTTTAGTTAGGAGGCTTTCCTACTGTACATTGACTCAAAAGGCCATAATTGAACTTTAGACAATTTGAACAAGAATGGTGATGAGGAGGTTTAAAAGTACTTCTTACTCACAAGTTCTGTAGACCACGTGATAGATTCAATACTCTGCCTTTCAAATATGGATCTAATCAGAATTAAGGAATAAGATTAATGTCACCATCCAGTAGCATAAGTAACATTCCCCAGCCATATTCGCAACATATGAATGAGATACAAATCACTGACTGCAAGAGAGTACAAGCAGGTCGAAGCTCAAGCTTTAGATGGGACACTTTTTGTAAATAAGCACCCGCATTTCCAGCATCTATTTTCTAGCACCAACATGGAGGATACATCTCAACCACACTGACTAGTGATCCATAAAGTCCAATCATGGACACTACTTCCACTAGATCCTTTTTCTTTACGCAGAATTCCTGCAGTACTAAAAAGGAAAATGAGGAATTAATAAGTCTATGAGAAACTTAGAAAAGGTTAATCAGAGTCTTTGGAGTCTGAGATATTCCACGTATATCGCCATCTAAAAACTGAAGTAGATTCCATTAGCATTCACTGACCTCACCGACATTGCTAATGGCATAGAAGACAGTCCCACCAATAACAAGTATGTCTCCCAAAAGAGGTTTTGAACCGCCTGAATAGAAAATTCTGATCATACATTTGGATTGATGTTGTATTTTCCAAAGAAGATGACAATTTTCTTTGATAAACATGTCGAATTGCTATGATTCTAGAGAACCAACTGACAGTTGAGACCAAAATGTCCATATGCTATCAACATGAACTAATCCAAGATAATTTGTGTGTAAACTTGCAAGTTCATCTTGTATGCAGAAGTTGGAAAAACGTTTGGTTCAAAATAATAAATCTATCACCTCCTCCTCCCACTCCAGCATCAGACAGAAGTACTAAGCCAAGGCCTAGAATACACAATGCGGCTCCAAACAACTGCAACAGCGAGTACCGAGTTCCTAGAAACACCCTGGTCAGGACTAGGACCCACGCTATTGTCCAGCAATCCAGAAGCGTCACACTCGTAATCGATGAGTACTGGTATGCCTTGTTAACTGCCATCAAGAAGTGTGAGTGATAAGTAAACTGTAAAAAGATGCCATTCCTTATGGGCAGAGATCAAGTTCCTGTACAGACAAAACGCGAAGGGAGATTTTGCGTGATTTGTGTTACTTCACTGCTAATCGGACAATGGTACTGCCGTTCAATTGCTTAAAGAGAAATTGTTTTTCTCGGGAAGAGAGAGAGAGAGAGAGACCTTTTCAACTCACCCAAATAATTTCCTTGGACGTCAACTATTCCCAAAAGCAGATACCAGTACCATGAAACCTGTCAAAAATAAAAATCTCCTAAAAGATGAAATTCCATATCAACGAGTTGCATGTTAGATTCAGCATTTGAACTTGCCAACCGAGTGAAAAACATGCCAATTTCTTAAAAGAGCACAGTAGCTTGGCTTGGCCGAAGTCTCGTACTTAAAAACTGATTGACTCTCTGTACACGGAGAAGAACAAAACAGCGAACATACTAGAAGCCTGCGTCGCCTGTAAAGCAAGATGCTTCCGAAAACCAGAGCCAGAGCTAAATAAGCAAAGAACATCTGAGTGAGAGGCGCATCCACACCTGCACAAATTTCGCCAAAAACCAAGACGACTTGACTCGAATCATCACATTAACGCATTCTATCATTCACCGTCATGGCAAATTTCAAGAAACCAAGTAATGGGACAAAAAAAACTAGTACTCTCTTCCAGTTGTTACCGAGATCAGCTATCAGAGAAGAAGAGAAGCTCCCGAGTGCCATTACGAAAGAGACGACCTGACCCAGGAAGAGAAGGTACACCATTCGCCACGTCCCGTGGCTTCTCCACCAGCTGCTCACGGCGTCGAAACAGGTCATTCTTTCAAAACTTGGTCCGACCCAGAACAGAACAAGATCACCTATCACCCAAAGATTGGACCTTTCGAGTGTCTCAGCAGCGAGAACAACGTATAACTGCAGCCCTTTATCCCCTGTTGCATCTGCTGATAACTACCGACTCGTTATATCTACGATTCTTTGGGTTTGGTTTGGGTTCTTGAAGGCGGAGTGTGCGGCAGAGTAGGTGTTCAACAACGTCGGCAGACGCGAAGGCAACTCGTTGGGCAGTAGGCGCTTCGGTTGGGCCACGATGAGATCATCAATTTCTTCTGGCGTTATTGCCCAAGCCTCGCGTGCGTTTTACCTTGAAATTTCTATGAATTACTTGTTGATTGTTACTTCAATTATTACTAAAAACTCATATTGTACTTTTGCACATTCTAATTCTATGAATGTGAGAATTGGTTCTTATGTGTTGTAAGTAGCGGAACTAAATATATACGGGAAAATTTTTACCAGAAAAATCTTAAACTTATTGTAATTATGCCAATTCAGTTTTAAACCTTTTTTTGGCCAATTACATCCTAAATATTTTGCATTTTTGCCAATTCAGTCCATCCGGCCAATTTTAACCGTAAACCACTGACAAGGATGCTGGCCGTCCTACGTGGTGAGCCGGCACTGACGTAAGTAATTTTTAATAATATTTTAATATTTTTCGAATTTTATTTATTTTTTCTTTTTTTCTTCCATCTTCCTCCGGCCGGTCGCCAAACCTCGGCGACCGACCAGAGGTGAGGGGGCTGGGCAAGGCTCACCCTAGCCAGCCAGCCAGAGGAAGAAGGAAGGAAAAAAAAAGGAAAAATAAAATAAAAAATAAAAATATAGAAAATATTATAAAAATATTCCACATCAGCGTCGCCTCCGCCACGTAGAGCTGCTAGCATCCATGTCAGTAATTTCCAACAAAAATTATCCGGATGGACTGAACTGACACTAACGCAAAATGTTTAGGACTCAATTAGCAAAAAAAAAAAGTTTAGGATTGAATTGGTACAATTACAATAGGTTTAAGACTTTTTTGAAAATTCTCATATATATATATATATATATATATATATATATATATATATACATATCATATAGTTGAGAATTTTGAAGTACTTCTTTCTTATTATATTCTCTTGCACTGTGCAAAGTCGAATCAATTTTATTATGTGCACATGAATCATGACATGGTTAGATATTTTAAAATATTTCTCTCTACTTCATAACTACCTCTACCTAGCATAGTCAATTTAATTGCTTATATGCTAATACAACTAAATATTTATATGCACATTTCGAATTTAAAAGAATTTCCTTTAATTATCACTTTGCTGGGAGAACTCCTTAATTTACTTTTTCGAAAAAGAAAGGTCTCATACCATTTAATTTAGTTTAATTTCCATTGTTCACCTACTATAACATATATGTAAACATACAAAACATTGATTTTTATTTGAAAAGGAAAAGATCCATTAGCCTGATTCTATCTATTTTAGTGCATTTTACTTTCAAAAGTCTATCTTACTATAATATGCTAATAATAATACATAGTCAATTTAATTGCTCATATGCTAATAATAATACAACTAAATATGTATATGCACATTTGAAATTTAAAAGAATTTCCTTTAATTATCACTTTGCTGGGAGAACTCCTTAATTTATTTTTTCGAAAAAGAAAGGTCTCATCCCATTTAATTTAGTTTAATGTCCATTGTTCACTTACTATAACATATATGTAAACATACAAAATATTGATTTTTTGAAAAGGAAAAGATCCATTAGCCTGATTCTATCTATTTTAGTGCATTTTACTTTCAAAAGTCTGTCTTACTATAATACTAGTGCTAGGGTCCATCTTCGCACGGGTTTTATCTTTAATTGTTTTTAAATATTACACTTTTAAAAAAAAATCACATTATATTGTGTAGCCAAATTAATTTTGTATGTGAATATGAAACATGGTATAGTTAAATATATGGAAGTATTTCTCTCTACTTCATAATTATTGCACATAATCGATTTTATTGCGTGTACAAAAATAACAATATGAATAAAAATTTGTATGCACGTCAACGTTTCGAAAGATATTCCTTTAATATTTCACTTTTTCAGCAAAAATATTAAACTTCTATGGGAAAATGGATGGACTTGTTCCTTTAAATTTAGTGCACTTCATGTCTAAAAGTCTATTTTCTTTCAACTTTCACTATCTCAGCAAAACCATACAATTCTATTTTGAAAAAGAAAAGACCCATTCCATAAAATGTAATGCACTTAATGTGCAGAATTCCATCTTACCATATTTTATTGATTTGATGCTATTATTTGTCTTCGGGCCAAAAATAATTCTATACAAATTTCTCAATTCTAATGTGAATGGCTTGCTTTTCACCGGATTGAGAGAATGGAGCGAGACGTGGCTTGAGGTCAAAAGGAAAATAGCACAAAGCTAGGATCAGCATTCACGGCAGAAAATTATGAAGATAAAGAGTAGTTTAACAGTGAAATTTAAGGGCAATTTGGGGGCTGTAAAACTCCATCAACCTGATTGTCAACTAAAGTGATATCGACTTTGATGACCATGATGAACCCTGTGGTCTGATGAAGTCCCACGCCATTCCCCTGCACGAACTTCAAAAGCTAATGGTCCCATGAATCTCTCAAACAGTCCCACTCAAATGTCAAATCTCACATGCCTTTCCCAACCTTCAATGCATGGGACGCAACCCCTTTTGAAAGCTCGACCGTGGAGGTCGCTTTCGAGGTCATTTGCACATGCATAGAAGTCCAATTTGATGCCGACATGGTGACCTCACTCCCACTTTTCAACGTATTGATGACTCATTGGATTGGTGCACATATCTACATGTCAAAGTGAGGCTTCCCAAAGAGAAGCTGCTTTCTTCCAAACTTTTTTTTCCAAGCCAAGTGACCATTTTTCCCCATTTTCAAAATATATTTTCTCTCTTTTTCTTGAAATTAAAAGAAGTACTAATGCAGGATTGAATGGAAACCACCGACTTTGAGACATGTAACCACTTTTGTAAAAAGTGATAATTTTACCGCATCACATTGCTTCTGGATTTAGGCAAAGTCACTTATATTATACGACAAAATCACCGAACGCAAACAAGAAGTAATACGAGTGTTATTTACTTTTAATTTCTCTCGAATTTTCTTGAAAATGTTCAAAATGAAAAAAAATCGATTGACGAACAGATGACAACATGGAAGATGATTGTGTGCAGTTGTAACAACATGTGAAGCACTCGCTCCATTATCTTGTTGTATCTCTTAAATGAAATGGCGTATTTTCTTAATTCAAATGAGTGCGGTCTATAATCATTTGGGACTTCTTACATTTAATGATAAATTACGGCGTTGACATGTCCATCGTTATGTGATGACAGAGATTGTTATATCTTGATTTCAGATAGATGTCTTACTTGGATAATTCATTTATAACTTTTTTTTGTCCACGTCCAAACTTAACTGATTGAAAACCACATCAATAGATTTCGTAAACTTAAATTAACGATAGGACAATATTGAACATTTTTTTATAATTTTGATATCAGATTGAGCATTTACTAATAGTTCAAGGATCAAATTGATCAAATTAAAAGTCCAAAGACGACATTGTTTAATACACCAAAGTTCATCTACCATTTGTGTCATTTTTTCCCAAACCGATAACATCACACAGAATACAACATCCCCTTAGTACTCTCAAGGCCTTATATTTCCTCCAAGTTTTCATGAACATTTTACAAAAATAAACCACACAACCTCACTCCCTATGTTCATATAGATCAAGTTCCTTTTGCTTGCTTCAATAGGCACTTTTATTTTTCATTTCTAAATTTCAACAAGATAAATTGGGTAAGAACATACATTGTTACATCCTTACCTCGAGGTTAATGCGACATTACAGGCACGTCACCGTCCCGTTTCTTTTATCTTCACATTAATAGCATGACGTCCTATTCAATTTTATCTTATCGTTACGAACAAGCGAAAGTATAAACTCGGGACAATCGAACAAACAACGGGGTTAAGATAAACATCATGAGCAAACCTTAAATTTACAGGATGACCTATTTATTACATGAGTGTATTCTACAAACCCAATTCTACTGGCTTTTTTCCCTTTTCAATACACTACATGTATCCACGTAAGATGGGGGAAATTCCTATCTTCTCTAGCGTGACTACAGCTCCCAAAATTGGTGTGAGATTTTCATGCCTACAAATCTAAAAAATAACAGAGTGAGTCAAGGACTCAGTAAGTAAAACTCACTAAACTTCGGATAGGAGGACGCCTCGCCATCGAACTAATCACATGTCATAGACACATCAATTGATAGCAGATCAATAGCAAAGATGCTTCAAACACACTTGTTTTTGTGCATAAGATGATCTCAACTTGCCTTTCTATTCAAGTAACAACATCCCAACTAAAAGCATGCACACGAGGGATTCATTATCTCAATCGTTGGTACGGTTTTTTTGGAAATTCTCTGGACAACGTCCCCTAATTCAATCGAGCCATAACCAATCCTCAGTACACTCATTCCGACCGTACTATCCATTCCATTACCGACCCACCGATCGGACCGCTCGCCAATTGTATTACCATTTGCCTTTGGTCGTCTTGGTCCAAATTGGGGATGTTACATACATACTCATCCTCGTTTCTGATTTACCACTGATTTTAGTCATCTTAAGTGAATTTTCAATGCGTTTTCCAATTTCTTATCACTAGCTTGTTCTTTCCCATTGAACCTTTAAGAAAAAATTAATCGAGATACAATTTTTTGGGTTACCACTAATAGAGACTTTATGACATATGTCTAAAGATCCATTCCAGTTGATTTAACATGACTATTTCTCTCGAGAATCCTTTTGTTAATGTAACTTACTTGACCTCACACATACGTTCTTGGGCATATTCACACCTTAAGCTCAAATGTCTAGATTTTCAATTGTATATCTTATTAAAACATTATATGTAACAACCCGGTCCGACGAGGGTGGGGAGTGATCACTGGGGCCAAAGGGCCTGGATAAGG